AATGTGGTGGCTGTGTCCATCACAAACTGGGCCTTAATTCCTCACCAATTGACTCTCTCTAGCTCTCCCCACGACGGTTCTTCCAAACTTTTTCTTCTCTCTTTAAGACCCCAACACCACCCCAACCATTACCTGCAAGGTCCTTGAGCGCAAGGATTGGTTTTGCCTCTCTTTGTATCCCCAGAACTTAGCACTGGACTTGGTACCTAGTCAGCACTTAATAAATGCTTGTCAACTAGATGACTTTCTCAACAGATTACTTCACCAACTAATTTTTTTTTAATTTTTTATTCAATTTTATTTTCAGTTGCACATTTTCTCCCTCCTCCATCCATTGACAGGGCAAGAAATACAAATAGCCATTACACATAAGAAGTCATGCAAAATATATTTCTGCTTTAGCCAAATTCCAAAAAAGGGGGGAAAAAAAGAAAGAGAAAAAAATGTTTTAATCTGCACTCTAAGTCCATCAGTTCTCTATCCAAAGCTCACTTCCTAATTTGCTGGAAATTTGTGGAAAAAATGAGGTGAGCTATCATCACCTCCTCCATCACTCCTGATTCCACACCTCAAAAATCACTCTATACATCACACACCTTCCTCTCCTTTTCTCCAGTCTTTGAGAAAGAAATAACCCTTTCTCTCCTAAAGCTGAACCTTAGGAATCTGCTTGTGCTATTGATTCCATCCCCTCTAGTCTCCTCTGGGACCTTGTTTCATTGATCATTTCCCCTCTCTCTGTCTCTCTCTCTTTCTCTCTCCTCTTCCTCCCTCCCTTCCTCTTTTATTTTCAGTCTCTCCTTCCTTACAAACAACCTTTCCCTTCAAAACAAAGCAAAAGAAATTTTAAACCTTTCTACTTGACCCTGCCGTCCCCTCAAACTATTGCCCCCTCTCTCCATGCCAAACTCCTAGAAAGAATCACTTATATTTGTTCCCTCCCCTCCTCACCTCCCACTCACTTCTCAATCCCTTACAGTGCTCAGCACTGTACTGAAACTCTGTCTCCAAGGTTACCAGCAATTTCTTCATTGCTAAATCCTGTGGTCTTTTCTCTGTCCTCATCCTCTTTGACCTTTCTGCAGCTTTAAATACTGCATACCATCCCACTCTCCACCTTGCTTCCTCTCTCCTGCATTGGTTTCTCAGGCATTGATCTCTCCTGGTTCTTCTCCTGCCTGTCTAACTGGACCTTTGCTGGTTCATCATCCATCTCCCATCCACCAAATGTAGGAGTCCCTTAAGGACACCTGCTCTTCTCTTTCCACACTCTCATCCCTAAATATTCTTTCTCTGTGCAGTCCTTGCGATGCCTTTCCCTGCATGCCACTTCTACTCATCAAATGCTTCCTTCTCTATGAAGCCCTCCTTGATTCAATTTTGACCTTATGTTCAATGATCATGTGTAAAGCAGACGATTCCCAAATTCCTTTTTACAGCCTTAATCACTCTCCTGAATTCCAACCCAACTGCCTAGATGACTTGATGTTTTTCAGCCTCAACATGCCCAGAATTAAACTCATCGAGGTCCCCTAAAACTACCTTCCTCAAAATGTCCTTCCTATTGAAGGAACCACCATCCTCCCAGTCATGCGGTTCAAAACCCATTTTCCTTGACTCTTTCCTTCCCCTCACCTCCATAGCTGCTGCTACTACTTCCACAGGCTCTCCCAATTTCTCTTCATTCACATGGCCCCAGCTCTATTTTTGACCTTTATCACTGTTTAACCGACCCACTGCAATCACCTTCTCTCTGGCCTCCCTACTTCCAGTGTCTCCTTTCTCCAGTAGCCCTGACCAGGTCGCTCCCCTGCTCAAAAACCTTGAGCAGCTCCCTATTACCTTCTACGATAATCAATTAACCAATAAGTGTCCAATTACTTTGAAGCGCTTTGCCTAGTATGTGTTCTCATCAGGGTAGTTCCTCTCTGGACCAGTGCAGATAACATTCACTCCACCCCACTCCATACAATTATTCATTGTGCCAGATGTTGTGCTAAGTTCTGGGGATACAAAGACAAAAGCTTAACATTCTCTGTCCTCAGCTCAGCATTCAAACCCCTCCAAATCTGGCTCCAACCTATAACTTTTCCATTCTTAGCTTGTGTTATTCCACTTTATACACGCTATATCACTGACAAACTGTCCCAGTTGTTATTCCCTGACCCCAACATACCATCTCCAGCACACACACACACACACACACACACACACACACACACACTGTCTGTCCTCCCTGCCTGGCATGTACTTCGTCTCCTCATCTCTGCCTCTTAGGATCCTCAGTCTCCTTAAATAAATAGCTCAAGGAGCTGCTAGGTGGCCCAGTGGATAGAGCACTAGCACTGGAGTCAGGAGGACCTGAGTTCAAATCCAGCCTCAGACACTGACTAGCTGTGTGACCCTGGGCAACTCAGTTTGTTTATCTACAAAATTAACAGGAGAAGGAAATGGTTAAACCACTCCAGTATCTTTGCCAAGAAAACCCCAAATGCGGTCATGAAGAGTCAGAAACAAATAAACAAAAATAACAAATACTGGTTGACTGATTGGATCCTTCGTAGAAAATAAGCTCTTTACACAAGCCATTCCCCAACTGATAAATGGTCAAGGGATATGAACAGGCAGTTCTCAGATGAAGAAATTAAAACCATCTATAGTCATATGAAAAAATGCTCTAAATCACTATTGATTAGAGAAATGCAAATCAAAACAACTCTGAGGTACCACATCACACCTATCAGATTGGCCAACATGACAAAACAGGAAAATGATAAATGTTGGAGAGGATGTGGGAAAATTGGAACACTAATGCATTGTTGGTAGAGTTGAATTGATCCAACCATTTTGGAGAGCAATTTGGAACTATGCCCAAAGGGCTATCAAAATGTGCATACCCTTTGACCCAGCAATAGCACTTCTAGGGCTATATCGCAAAGAGCTCATACAAATAGGAAAAGTAATCACATGTACAAAAATATTCATAGCAGCTCTTTTTGTGGTGGCAAAGAATTGGAAATTGAGAGGATGCCCATCAGTTGGGAAATGGCTGAACAAGTTGTGGTATATGAATGTAATGGAATACTATTGTGCTATAAGAAATGATGAACATGCTGACTTCAGAAAAACCTAGAAAGACTTGTATGGTCTGATGCTGAGTGAAGTGAGTAGAACCAAGAGAACGTTGTACACAACAACAGCTATGTTGCACAATGACTAATATTGATAGACTTAACCCTTCTCAGCAATACAAGGATCTAAGACATCTCCAAAGGCCTCATGATGGAAAATGTTATCCACATCCAGAGAAAGAACTATGGAATTTGAATGCAGATCGAAGCACTCTATTTGCTTTTTTTTTTCTCTTCCATTGAGTTTTGTTTCCTCTTTCTGGTGGTTCCTCCTATTGGTTCTAATTCTTACTTACAACACGACTAATGTGAAAATATGTTTAATAGGGATGTATATGTATAGCCTATATCAGGTTATGTGCCGTCTTGGGGAGGGTGGTGGGGAGGAAGAGGGAGAAAAATTTTAAACTCAAAAGTATGTGGAAGTGATAGTTGATAAATCAAAATAAATTAATAAAAAAAGAAATCAGAAAAAAATAAAGAAAATAAAAAAAGAAAATGAGCTCTTTGATGGCAGGGATGTTTCCTTTTGTCTCTGTATGCCCAGCTTTAACCCAGTGTCTGACACACAATGTTTAATAAATATTGGTCAAGTTTAATTAATTTCAACAAACACTTTTTAATAATGTACTATGTACCAAAATACCGTGCCAAGAAGCCCTGGAGATACTTCAAGTGGGGCCCAAGCCACATGAACGTGTAATTGGGAAATGCTTAACAAAGCAAATAAAAATACAATAAGACGTCAATAACATTACGCTCGAAAACTAAGTCAATATGGAACCCACGGGGATACTTTTGTACAGATGAGTGGTCCCCATTTCTGTTTGACTTTGACACTGCTGTTGTACCACATAGGCCTCTGCAAACTAATTAGAAAGATAAGTGACACTATAGCCGATTACCTTGGTACTTTGTGTGAAATGAATTCTACCCCGGTGGGTTCTCCTTTCCAAATGCAGATGACGGTCACTCCACACCTTCTCATCCTGGGCAGCTGGAGTCTGCATTTTTCCATCCCTCCTCCAGAGGGAATCTACCCAACACAGTTAACCCTTTTCTCTAATTCCTTTATATAAACTCTGAGCTTTAAAGATCTTGAGAGAGAGGAGAGTCCTGCCCCAAAGGGAATCTTTTCTGAATTAGGTGAGAATCACAGGGTGGGATACATAACCAGGCCAGGGTGATTTAAGGGTTTCCCCCAGCCCTTATCTTTCTGATTTCAACAGAAGGGAGGGAGAAAAGCAAAGGAAAAAGACTGAGTTTATTTCTTACTCCACTATGACCAGAAGTCATTGGTCCTTTATATTCCCAGAACTGATACAACCAGATGCAATGCTAACTGTATTTTGAAGGTTAAAAGTGAAAGCAATCCCTTTTAACTTTTTAACTAATTCACTAACTAAATGCTGGAAGATCTCCAAGATTAGAAATCATCAGGTTCTATCCAGTCCTTTTACAGACAAGGAGGCTGGGACTCAGAGATACCCAAGGTCACCCGGCCTATTTTACACAGAGCCAAAATGACAACCCAGGTGTCCCGACTCCTCATTCAACATTATTCCTTGCTGCAAGACCTTTACTATCTAATTAGGCAGAAGTGAAAGGACTCTTTATCTTTTAGCTTTTTAGCTAACTGCGGACTATGTCTGACTCAGGAATTCTGCCTTCCACCGATAGCAGTACCATCACAGCCCACCCCTCTTGGGTCAGGAGCCCCTGGTTCAGCTCCCTACCTCCACTCATGCCAAGCATATGTCCTGGCTCAAGAAAGACATGCCCAGATGAATCAAATTTATCTTTTAACTGTTTAACCAATTGTTTGAGCGGCTAATCTGGGTAGGTGACCAGCACAGAGAATATTCTTACCTTTTATTCCAAGCTGCTACAAAAGGCAGGAACGGTAAAATACCAAGCAGTACCAGGAGCTGGACATGGACTAGAAACCTGGAAGACTGTTGACAATAAGCAAATGTTCAGTGTGAGTCCAAGGTTAGCTTGTACTTACCCTGGCAGGAAAAAATCAAGGCTGAATTAAACAAGGGCTGAAAGCAGTTGAAATTTAGCCAAGGAGATACAATATTGTACCTGGGCATTCACAGTTATTTTCAAAAGTTCTACATCTTAACTTGAATGTGTTATACCTTACTAGTTATCAGCAATAGGTTGACACGTATACTATTAAAGAATTATGTCCATATACTTATCAAAGAGTAGTACCCTTTAATGCTTTCAAATAATTTCATAAAGAATATTGTATCTATATTAAAAAATATAACTTCAATAAAGACAAATTTTTAAAAGTCACAAATTGACACGATCATATGCTAAAAGCTCTGAAACTTATCCATTCAGGTAAATAATCAATCAGGAGTATTTATTAAGCTTGGCACCAGAGATACGAAGACAAAAATGAAACAGAGCCTACCTTCAAGAAGCTTGCATTTGGGGGCAGCTAGGTGGCGCAGTAGATAGAGCACCGGCCCTGAAGTCAGGAGGACCTGAGTTCAAATTCGACCTCAGACACATAATACTCACTAGCTGTGTGACCCTAGGCAAGTCACTTAACCCCAGTGCCTAACCAAAAAAAAAAAAAGCTTGCATTCTGTCATGGAAAACAACATGTACACAAGTGTGTATACATATATTTGTGTATATATATGTATACACAAATATACATATACATGTGTTTGCATATACATGTATGTACATGTGTATATACATATGTCTGCCTATGTGTATACTATACACACACACACATACACACACGGTGATTTGTGGGACGGGGTGGGTAGGATACGCAAGCAGCTGAGAAGAACAGGAAGAATTTATATAGGAGATGGCCCTGGACTGAACTTTGAAAAAAACCAGGGATTCTAAGAGAAGAAAGGAAGAAAACAAAGATGACAGGTGAAGAGCTGGATGGGAAGAACAGTGAGGAGGCCAATATGGCAGACTATAGAAAGTGTGAAGGGGAAGTGACATATAATAAGCCTGGAAAGATGGGTTAGATCCTGACTGTAAATGACACACAAAAGAGTTTGCAATTGATCCTGGAGGTAATAGGAAGCAACTGGAGCTTCTTAAATAGGACTGCGATATAGTCAGAGCTGGGCTTTAGAAATATGGCTCTTGCCGCAGTGTCGAGGATGCATTAAAGAGGGAAGAGACTTTAGGCAGGGAGACTAATGGGGAGGTTTTTGTACAAGTCCAGATGACAGACACGAGGGCCCATACACATTAGGGAAAGTCTATACAGGAAGCACCATTAAAGCAGGGACCATGTCTTAATTATCTTTGCATCTCCCTGTTGCCTAGCCTGGTACCCTAAGGCACTGTCGTTCCCCCGGGCGACCGCTAACTTGAATTGTAGAAAAAAGGAACCCAGGAGAAAATAGCTACCGCCTCCAAAGCTGTCTTTGCAAACCTGGATCTTAAATGATCACAAACATCACAGCAGTATGCAAATTCATAGAATCTTAGAGCTGGAGATCACTGATCCAATTCCCTGCTTGATGCAGAAATCCACTCTGTAGTGGAGAAGAACAGGGAACTAGGACATTTTTTAATGGGCCTATGATGTCATCCATTTTAGGAGGCTCCCAGTAAGAAACTAACAGCCTTGACTGATTCAGTTCAACATGGGCTCTATGACTTATAAGTCTTTAAAGAATTGCCTAGTGGGGGAGTGAGAGGTTAAATGGTCTCTCCAGGGTCAGAAGTATCAAACCACACTACACTAGAAATGTCAAACACTCAGCCACAGTAGCCCATATGCAGCCCACAACACTGCCCAATACTACTGGAACCAGATTAAAATGTAACTGGGAAATATTTAACAAAATGAAGAAAAATACAATAGAATATAGATAACGCTAATATGTGGAGCAGCTAGATGGTGAAGTGGATAGAGCGCTGGGCCTGGAGTCAGAAAGACTCATCCTCCAGAGTTCAAATGTGGCCTCTGACATTGACTAGCTACGTGATCCTGGGCAAGTCACTTAATTCTATTTGTCTCAGTTTTCTCATCTCCAGAATGAGCTTGAAAAGGAAATGGTTAAACCACTCCAGTATCTCTACCAAGAAAACCCCAAATGGGGTCACAGAGAGTCCACATGACTAAAAAGACTGATTAACAACAATGATGTTCATATGTGGTTTTCTGCGTTAAAACGTGGCCTACAGGGATCCTTGTGTATTGTTGAGTTTCTATTTGAGTTTGACACCACTGTTCTACACCATGCTGCCTCTGAATTAAGACTTAGGTGGAGTAGATATCTAGACACAAGGAACCAAATTGTCCCAGGGAACTTGAATTGGAGTTCAAAGATGAGGAGCCGGTGCCTGGCACATAATAATCACTAAATAAATGCTTTATCTACCTCCAATTTCATGTGGCATCATCATTTTACAGACTTGCCCAAAGCCTCACAACTAGCAAATGGCAGAGCCAGAGTGCCTGTCTTCTGACCCCATGTCCCAATCCAGTTTCTACCACACCCTTCAGTAACCTTGAGAAGGTGGCAAAAGGCTCAGAGAAAGAAAGAGAAGCCACTCAGATGAAGGAAACCCAAGGCCTTGGGGCTCCATCATTCATGCCATCAGCCTCAGAGATACCCTGGGTCAGTCTCTATTTCCACTCTCTTGGTCTAAAGAAGAGCCTTGTACATTGTAGATGCCCAAAAATGTTTGTTGAATTGCCCAAGTTGGGTGTCACCAGCTTTATTTTTTACAAGTCTTGAACTCAGAACTCTCTATTAAATGCTCAGATGATGTCAGAACACTGGGTAGTTAAAAGTGAAGCAACAGGAAGAATATGGTAAACTCTAAGTTTCTCCCCTTCTTCCTTTATTTCCAGGTTCCCAGAGCCAATTGAAGGCAGTTAGTGGCACAACAGATAGAGTGCCAGGCCTGGAGTCAGGAAGACCCTGGGCAAGTCACTTAACCCTGTTTGCCTCATTTTCCTCATCTCTAAAATGTGCTGGGGAAGGAAATGGCAAACCATACTCGTATCTTTGCCAGGAAAACCCTAATTGGGGTCCATCATCTATTCAAAACCACTGCTCATGAGCCCCATTTCCTGCTGATTCTCTTCAACCTGGACAGATTATATACATGACATCCACAATAGGGCAAAAGGACATTTACTTAAAACAGACTATAAGGCAGATAAGTAGCAGGCATTCCATCACCTGTTCTCCCAAACTACCTCCTTCAAACACCAAACTGTTTGTTTAGCATTCAAAGCCCTTTATGACCCAGTCCCCTCCTAACTTTCCAGTCTTCTCACACATTACTACCCTCCACATACTCTTCAGTCCAGAACGCTAGCCTCCCTGCTGCTCCTCAGGTAAGACACTATCTCTTGGTTCTGAGAATTCTCTCTGGCTGTACTCCAGGCCTGGAATGTTCTCCCCCCTCATCTTGACCTACTAGCTTCCCTAACTTCCTTTAAATCCCAACTAAAATCCAGTCTTCTGCAGGAAGTGTCTTTCCCAACTCTTCGGAATTCTGGCATCTTACCTCTCTTAATTATTTCCTACTTATCCTGTGTATAGCTTATTCGACACATCTGTTTTCCCATCATTAGATTATGAGCTGCTTGAGGGCAGGAACTGTTTTTTGTCTCTTTTTATATCCTCAGTGCGTAGCTCAATGCCTGGCATTTAGTGGGTGCTTAATAAATGTTTATTGACTGAATGAATCTCCCCGTCTTGGGAGAAAGAGGTGCTTTCCCTCACCCTACCTTCAGACATAGGGAGAGGGAAAGAACCTCATGGGGAGAAAGGGGGGTGGTCCAAGTCAAGAGAAGAGAGAACATGATCCCTACACAATCAGTAGGTAAGTCCAGCCAGAGGTTCCAGGACAATCAAATCCAAGAGCTAAGAAGAAAGTTTAAAAACACGGAGTTTGTAGCCACATTCTAAAGGTGGGAAAGTCAACCCAGAGACAGAGCATGCATTATGGAAGGGAGGTACAGGCTCCTTGAGCTGGGACTGGTTTTGCCTTTCTTTGCATCTCCAGTGCTCAGTACAGTGCCTAGCACCACAGTAGCTTTGGAATAATTCTTGTTGACTTACAGACATCCCCATTTCTGTTCTTTCTCAATTCTAAATTCCTCTCCCCAATCCCCTCTAATGTAGACCACATTCTTACCAGCTTATCCCAGGATTCTTTCACTCATCTATCCTAAAACTAGAGACTCTTCTTCCCTTCAGCTGATCCCAGCCCTCTCCCCCAAGGCTCAAAGAAAAACTGCCTTTGTTCAAGAACCACCATGCTCCTAAACCCATAGTTGGTGATAGCTGAGGAAGAAGTTGCCAGCCCACAGCAACAAACCACCCCAAATCTGTGATATATGCAGCCCCTCGCAGGACTAGGAAGGAACACCAGCCATGTAAACATAGGTGGGGCCCACTTCTCTTCCAGGTTTCGGAAGCAGAAGTCTTCATCAGCTGGCACTGTCCAATTCTTATTTTCTGAAAGCAATAAGCTGTTGAAAATTGTTTCCTTGGCTGAACTTTGTCTGGGATAAACAGGCTTGGAAAGGTTTTGTAGAGGAAAGAATTCCAATAATAATTAACAAGGGAGATGACCTGAGTGTTCATCCATCAGAGACTGAATCTTGACGCAAAAAGGAATGGCTTTTATAACTTTCAGTTCCCATTTATAATAGTCTAACTTACAATTCTAAAACCAGAATGTACTCTGTAGCCCCTAGAATCTGCAGGCCAGAGGACCTGTCTTTTTCTGTGTTGCTTCATTCCTAGGAAAAGGTCTAGGTCTAAGAGTCGCCACATAGGTTCTTTTAAGCCTTTGATAATAGCAGAGCCCGGAGGCAACTTTTATTATCACATATGCCCCCAGTCTACTCTCAGTCACTCTCCAAAGCCAATGGACAGATGAGACCAGTAGGGTTCTCGAGAGCCCACTGTCTCATTGACACACAGCATGTTTCAACCACTGAGTGTCCAGCTAAATGGAACAAGCCTCCAGGAAGCCACAAAAACCCACACAATAGAATGAGGAAGCTGGAATCCCTTCTTCCTATCCAGCCCCCTGATCTCAGTTTCCTTCAATCCAGCAACAAGCATTTTTTTTGGTTTGGTTTTTTGGGGGGAGGGGTTTTGGGGGAGAATCTAGGCAATGGGGTTAAGAGACTTGTCCAGGGTCACACAGCTAGTAAGTGTTATATGTCTGAGGCTGGATTTGAATTCAGGTCCTCCTGAATCCAGGGCCGGTGCTCTATCCACTGCGCCACCTAGCTGCCCCCCATCAACAAGCATTTATTAAAGGCCTGACCCTAAGGATACAAAGAAAACTGTGGAACCATCCTACTCTTCAGGAAAGTCACATTTTATCCAGAGAGACAACCCATATGTACATACAAAACACATACAAAGCAGACACACGTTGACCTCGGTTGGGAAGGAACTAACAAATGATAGGACTAAGAAAGTCGTCTTAAAGAATGTAGCACTTGAGCTGAATCTTCTTTTTTCTTTCTTTTCTTTCTGGTTTTTTTTTTTTTGGTGAGGCAATCAGAGTTAAGTGGCTTGCCCAGGGTCACAGAGACTTGAGCTGAATCTTGAAAGAAGTTGAGAATTACAAGAGGAGGAGAGCATTCCAGGCGTTCCAAAGGCCTAGAGGTGGGAAATGAAGCACTGTGTGTAAGAGAGAGCAAGTAGACTAGTATGATTAGACCACAGAGTCCATGAAGGGAAGTAATGTATAAAGAGTCTAGAGGGGTAGAAGGAAGCCAGGTGGTAAAGAACTTTAAATGCCAAACATAGGAGTTTATATTTAATCTTAGAAGTAATGAGGAAACCACTGGAGTTTAATGAATAGGAACGCTGATCTAGTCAGACCAACTCTTTAGGAAAACCCTCTTAGCAACTATGTAGAAAATGGATTAAAATGAGAAGAGGTTTAAAACAGTGAGACAAATTAGATTATTGAAATGTCTGAGTTGCAGGTGATCAGGACCTGAACAAGGGTGAGAGTAGATCCATGAAAGGGATAGTTTAGAGACAGAAATGACAAGATTTGGCAACTGATTGTGAGATAAGGGACAGGGAAGAATGATATCAGAGTTGCAGATTTGGATAACTGGAAGGACAATGGTGTCATCAGTAGGGAAGTTTGAAAGAGTAGTAGGTTTGGGGAGGAAAGATGATGAGTTCTATTTTAGACACATTGAGTTTGTGATGGCTACCAGACTCCTTGCAAAAGAATTTCAAGAGTGATGTGCTTAAGTTAACATTTAACAAATGTATATGATAACTATCATAAGAGCTTACATTTGTAGAGTACTTTAAGGTTTACAAAGCATTTCATAAAATATATTTCATTTGTTCCTCAGGATAACGCTGGAAAGTTTTCCCCCTTTTACAGGTGAGGAAACTGAGGCTTACCAAAGTGATTGGCTAATGGCCCCACAGCGAGGACATAGAGCTCTTCCTGACTCCGCGTCTTTTCACCACTGTGAAACCACGCCACAATCCTCCTGCCATGCTCACTGGGCACAGAGGCAACGCCGGCATCCCCAGAGTCACATCAGTGATACAAGCACGAGCAGGTCCAATGAAGCTGGAAAGGTTTCAAGTGGGGTACCAGTAATTGACTAGAGATGTCTGTCATCAGAGGATTAGCCTCTCCGTAAGTGCTAAGAACCTGAACGTCAGAGAATTGGCTGCTAGGTGATGACTGGGCATGAACGGTGTGGCACAGTGCCTTACCTTGCACTTTCCCGCAGGGGCAACTGCCCCAGGTTCAAGATACCCTTCTTCTAAAACTATAGCTCACAAGCCCCCACCACGGCATTTATTTACCTTGAAAAATCAGCAAAAGGAAACAGTTCAGTTCAAAGGCTTTGCTGAAATACCATAGCATCAACAGCAGTAACAAAACATTCCCTCCACAAGCCTGGGGGACACTGTCCCACAAGTGTGCCCAGGGTCAGTGGGAAGAATGGGCACACGCACAGACTGTACTCCAAAAGAGGCCTAAAAAGAGAGCATGCAAGTGGTCAAGGCAATCACACCACCAGCCTGCGGGGCCCGATGTCCTTTCCTTTCTTGTGACGTTCCCATGGTACTCCGTGGTCACACTGTCTCTGCTGGGCAGGCTGCCCATCTCGGTTACCTGGGTGTCTTCATATCAGCAACTCAGTTCCCAGAGTCCAGGACTGGCTGTCTTCTTGACTCACAGAGCTCACACTCCTCTGAGCCGTTTCCTTCCTCTTCTGCTCCTTAGAGAATATATCTCTTTTTAAAAGACCGCCCCTCCCCAGGAATGTGGGGTCAGCCAATGGCTAGCTGCTTTCAAATTTTATCAAGCTTGAAAAACTTCATTGTCTGTTACCTAACCCTTACTGTCCATATATTAATCAGTTGACTTGAGGGTAAAGTATTGATCCAGCATGTCCTGATCAGCTGCTCTCCAGACTCATCACATGTCCAAATCTAGTATGCATCATGCAGTGAGCACTAGGCCTGGAGTCAGCAAGTTGTTGGGTCGTTTCAATCATATCTGATACTTTCCAGCCCAATTTTCTAGTTTTCTTGACAAAGATACTGGAGGATTTTGCCATTCCCTTTTCAGCCTATTTTATAGATAAGGAACTGAAGCAAATAGGGGTAAGTGACTCACCCAGGGTCACACAGCTAGTATGTATCTGAGGCCAGATTTTTTTTTTTATTTTTAGGCAATTGGGGTTAAGTGACTTACCCAGGGTCACACAGCTAGTAAGTGTCAAGTGTTTGGTCTGAGGCCAGATTTGAACTCAGGTCCTTCTGATGTCAGGGCTGGTGCTGTATCCACTATACCACCTAGCTGCCCCTTGAGGCCAGATTTGAACTCATGAAGATGAGTCTTCCCAATTCCAAGCCTAGTGCTCTATTCATTGTACCACTTAGCTGCCCTAGGGTTGGCGAGACTTGAGTTCAAATTTGGCCTCAGACACTGACTAGCTGTGTGACCCTGATCGAGTCACTTAACCATGTTTGTCTCAATTTTCTTACCTATAAAATGAAGATGATAATAGTACCCACCTCCCAGGACTGTTATGAGGATCAAATGAGATAATATTTGCAAAGCGCTTAACACAGAGTAGGTAGTATATAAACATTAGCTATTAACATTAATAGTAAAATGCATATATTATATACATACATAGTAAAATCTCCTGAGTTGATATGTTGCCTGGTTTTGCTAAAATGCTTTTTCCCCCTCTTTCTGTTTTAATTCTTTTTATAAGGTATAACTTTCTGAGTAGAAGATGGGGAGTGACATATTCAGTAATGCAAATGACATAAAAACAAAAATCATCAATAAAATACTTTTCAATTTCATGATGTAGACTCTCAACTATATAACACATAAGGTTATACCACTGGTGAAACCATGTTCCCCATACACACATGTGACTGAAGATACACAGAGTATGTAGAGATTCTCTGTCTGTATCCCACTGGTATATGAGCATGACTCAGGGCTGAAAGGACTTGGTGTTTTGATATGATACAGCCATTCCACGTGGTCTCTTGGTCCTCACTCTCCCCTGTGATACCAGCAGAAGGACAGGAAGCTGAGTCAGTTCAAAAAGCAGAGACAGTTTCTCTCTCCTTTCAGGTCTCCACATGGTGTCCTGAAGCTCTAGGACTTCACATGAGTAGGAAAAAGTCAGATCACTCTTTTCTCTACCTTGGCCACCATTCAGTCAGGAACACATGCTAACTAGAGCCCACATCCTTCTGGGCAAGCCTGATCCTAGTTAGGGTCTGCCGCTTCTGTGTTTTCTCTTTGCTGATCTTAGGTAAATGAGACGATCTCAGAATTGACCTATCAGGCTTAGGAGACACTTTGTGAATTTGAAAGATCTAAAGTTCCTGGGTCCTTTGATCAGAGTAGAATAGCATCAGAAGGAGGAGCCCCCAAGCATTACCCCAGTGCCCTTGGAGAAGAGTGTAAACCTTGGCCTGACTTGCCCCAAAGCGTGGATGTTGATGGAGACAGTGCAGAGCTGAGGTGAAATGTAAAATGCCAGTCAGCAGTCCTCCAAACCGCTTCATGCTTAGATGGTTTTAAGTGTCCACCTCCTGCAGAATAACGTAATAGTTAGTCCTTCCGCTTGTTGTAAGTTTGTTTCTGCCAGATCTATGTTTATAAATGTTCTGTGTTGAGCTCTTCTTTTGTGTGTCCCATACCTGATTTTGCTAAAATGCTTTTCCCCCCTCTTTCTGTTTTAAAATACCTTTCAACAGTCCCCTCTGGGGATGTTCTAGGCACGATCCAACATCTAACCTTCAGCAATCCTTCTCTCAGGCTCTGGAATGGGGATGTGTGAGAAAGGAAGCCTCGACCCTCCCACTAGAGACCAGGCTGTCCCTAGGACTAAGCCCAGTCTGGACCCCATGTGTGGGTCTGGAGCAGAGGAGCCTTTTAGTAGGGAAGGGAGAGGGTGCAGCGCCCCAGGACCTCAGGCCAAGCACCGGTGCTCTAATGTCAAACACACCTATGGCCATCTGTCACTGTAACACAAAAGTAATGACAATGATGATGATAACTGACATTTATAGAGCTCCTACTCTGTGCCAGGCACCACGCTAAGCGCTTTACAATCATTACCTCAGTTAATCCTCACCTTGTGCCCCAATGACCATCACACCAGCACAGCACACAATCAAAAGAGCCTGAGAATGGGCAGTTTCACATATAAGCCTCTGCTATGTTTATGGAAATTTTCATTTTATTTGGTCTTTAAGTTCAGAATTTTAAAAATACAGAAAGAAAGAAGGAAGGAAAGGAAGGAAGCAAGGAAGGAAGGAAGGAAGGAAGGAAGGAAGGAAGGAAGGAAGGAAGGAAGGAAGAGAGAGAGAAAGAAAGAAAGAAAGAAAGAAAGAAAGAAAGAAAGAAAGAAAGAAAGAAAGAAAGAAAGAAAGAAGGAAGGAAGGAAGAAAGAAAGAAAGAATGAAAGAGCATGAGATTTGGAATCAGAGAATCTGGGTTCAAATTTCAGCTCCGCTGCTTGCTAACAGTATAACCTTGAGCCAGTAACTTCCCCTCTTTGGGCCTCAGTTTACTTCTCTGTAGAATGGGGGGGAGAGTCTAAGGTCCCTTCCAGCTCTAAATTTATCATCTTATGAACTCCAGAAATTAAAATAATCCTTTGCCCCCAAAATAGTTTGACTCTTTTTGGGGTGGGGGGTGGGGAAGCAGGCCAGGGAATGGATTGGATAACATGTTAACTTGAAGTTCTAAGTATTTCAGTGAAAGGCAACTTGGAGGCTGGTCTGATAGTTAAGGAAACTTAGCAAGCTCTACCTCATGCAAGCTTTGTCGTACTGGGCAAATTACTTAACCTCTCTGATTTTTCAGGCTCTAAACTGCTTAACAGTTGTTTGTTCACATTCAGAGAGGGAGTTTCCTTACCAAGAGTTCTATACAGTGATGAAATCACAGGCAGCTAGGTGGTACAGTGGATAGAGTGCCAGGCCTGCGGTTAAGGAGATTCAGCTTCCTGAGTTCAAATCTGGCCTCAGACTCTTATTAGCTGTGTGACTATGGGCAAGTCACTTAATCCAGTTTGCTTCAGCTTCCTTATATGTAAAGCTGGAGAAGGAAATGGCAAACCACTCCACTTTGCCAAGAAAACCACAAATGGGATATTGAAGAGTAGGACACAACTTAAAAATGCCTCAACAGCACCATAGGCCCAGACCTCTCTGCCTCAAAAAAGTATTTGAATGCTTGTAAAGTTAAGACAACAGTTACAGAATCATTAAGTTTAGAGCTAGATATTACTCCAGTACCTTCCTAGTCCAATACCTAATTTGATAATGAGGAAACTGAGGCTCAAAAAAATTTGTGACTTATCCAAGGTCACATAGGTGACACACAGAAAGACCTGCATGAAGATTCTCTCACTCCAGATTCAGCCTGCTTTCTACACTGATTTCTGCCTTTCTTTTAGGAATCCCTGGTGAGTGGGCCAGAGAGGAAGAGGAGGAAGGATGCAATGACCTCTGTAATGGGAAAGGGGACCTGCAGAAAAGGTTGGCTAATGATGCCAGGGTACAGAAATGCAATTTATCTAAGGAGGAAAGCAAGCAGCTTTTAAGTGATATGTTATGGGTTTAAAGAAGGTTGTGGCTAGTAAAGATGACTTGAGGATTACTTGATCCAGAGTAAAGGGGATTGGAAAAATGACAGCCAAAAAACCTTTTAGGGTAGGAGCAGGAGTTTAAAAAAAAAAAAACAAGAATGAAAACAAGAACAGAGCTGGGGAAAATAGAGCCCAGGTTGTGCCAAAGGAGGTCATAGAAACTGACTCCCAACTCCTCTCAAGGAAACTGATAAGGTGTTAAGTGTCCAGGAAGGGGTGGAAGGGAAACTAGTCAGATTTCCCACAGATGCCAGGACAGCTGTTCTGGCTTCAAGCCAAAGGTGGGGATTGCACCTGGGACCCAGACAGGAAAAGAACTTCTTCTCCAGGGACCTACACAAGGCTGAGAAAGAGAGCTTGACCCAGGCCTGGAACTGGGAGGAGCACAAACCACAAAGAAACAACTGTAGCTCCAAGAGTCTGGGCCAGCAGATGGAAAAGAGGAGTGATAACAAGAGAGCACCTGGATGGGGGATGTCCACTGCTTTCAACCCCAAGGTCTCCCAAGCTCAGGGAGAAAAATACCTATAATTTACATGAATTGTATGTCATTTGCACCTTAAATGCTCTCCTGTTGTAGCAGTCTAACAATGGAAAGGGCTGCCTCATGATGATTTGAAGGCAGGAAGACATGAGTTCCAATCTTGTCCCTGACACTTAATAGCTATGTGACTATGAAGAAGTCATTTCATGTCCATAAGCCTCGGTTTCCCCATCTGTAAAATGGAGTTTATAATATCTATAGCACCTCACTTGAAGGGTATTGGACATGTAAAGCATACTACAACATTAAACTGCTACATAAATGCCAATTGTTATTGTTATGGTCATTATTTTAGCAAGTTCCCTGTCACCAAGGGAATCTTAGCACAGTCTTTGTTTTCAGATGGCCATCTGTATGAAATGTTTCAGAGGGGAATTCCTGTATGTGATGATAGCTTAAACTGGAAAACCTTTAAGATCCCTGTAAGCTCTGAAAACAAAGCTTCAGTTCTGTATTATCTGTCTATCCCTATATAGCCTGTGTTAAGAAAATATAATATATAAGAATCC